GTTCCTTAAAGTCATTAGCAACTGTCTTTCTGTTTTTATGCAAGTATTTATGAATAGTGATCATATTCAAATGCATATGTCAAGAATAAGTCATTGGACGTTTTTTCAAAACAAAACAGAAAAAGAAAAACAAGTAATTTTGTACTTTCAAGGAATGATTTATATTGATTTTTGAAATTCGCCTATAATAGGTATTTTGTACAAAAAGACTGACATTCTAGTAGGAGAACGCCGTCGTAAAAATGATAACCACACAAAACAATGTACAAAAAGAAAACAGCTATGTGTGATAATCCCATTGAGTTTCAATTCTTCTATTGCCCCTATGTCTTCGAGCGTCTCATCACTTTGCTACTTGTCCGAAGCTGACTGGATTGATCGATACCGTTTGAGTCTTGGTAGTTGATACTGAAGTCTGGTCTTAAGGTGATCCAAAGGGACATAGTGATACGCTTAAAATCCATAACTTTTGCCTAGACCTCCCTTTCGGGTTTTCAGTCCATAGGGATACCCTTTTTTGCCCAATCCGCCTTTGTAGGTTTTCGACTTGCCGGGTGTACAGATTTTTTTTGTGTTTATCCATAATTTTTGCCCGAACCCTTTTGGTTCGCCGGGATGCCCTTATTTTTGCCTAGGCCAGTCAACCTAGTGGGTCTTTATTCATGCGTAGTATCTTTTCACTATGTCCGTATTAACAGGGTGAGGAAGGTCGTCACCATCCATGATGGTCATAATCATGGCTCCACAGGAAAATATGATTTTGATTACAAATGGCCCTTCATACACGGGAGTCTATTTACCCCTGGGATCACCTTGTGGTAGTATGATGCGCTTGATTACCAGATCACCCACTTGATATACTTGTCGTATGACCTTTTCATTGAAATCCTTGATCATTCGCTTTTGGTATATCTGACCATGACAGACAACAACAAGCCTTTTCTCATCAATCAGATTCAATTGATCAAGTCGAGTATGGATCCAATCGTCTTCGTTCAAACCCGCATCCTTCATGATCCTTAAAGAAGGGATCTGGATCTCAATAGGTAGGACAACCTCCATACCATATACCAGAGAATAAGGTGTTGCTCCTGTTGACATTCATGTTGAGGTGCGGTAACCATGAAGAGCAAATGGTAACATCTCATACTAGTCTTTGTATGTCACCATCATCTTCTGTATGATTTTCTTAATGTTCTTATTAGCAGCCTCCATAACGCCATTCATCTTCGGCCGATAAGGGGAAGAATTATGATGTTGGATCTTGAATTGTTTACAGAGCTCGGTGATCATTGTATTGTTGAGATTTGTACCATTGTCTGTGATGATTCTCTCTGGAACACCATACCGACAAATTAGGTTATGCTTGATAAACTGCGCCATAACATTCCTGGTAATATTAGCGAAAGAGGTAGCCTCAACCCACTTCATGAAGTAATCAATGGCCACTAGGATGAAGCGATGCCCATTGGAAGCGGTAGGCCTAATCTCTCCGATCATGTCAATGCCCCACATTGCAAAGGGCCAGGGAGACATTAAGACATTCAAGGGAACCAGAGGTACATGTACTTTATCAGCGTAGATCTGGCATTTGTGACAAGTTCGGGAATGCTGATAACAGTCTGCTTCCATAGTGGACCAATAGTATCCTGCCCGTAGGATCTTTTTAGTCATGGTATGTCCACTAGAATGGGTGCCAAAGGCACCTTCATGTAAATCTGCCATAATCCTCTCTGCTTCGTTCTTATCTATGCACCAAAGTAAAGTAGAGTCATGATTGTGCTTGTAGAGGATTCCATTATTGAGGAAGAACTTTGCGGAGAACCTTCTCAGAAACTTCTTATCATTGACAGATTCCCCCTCAGGATACTCTTGAGCCTCAAGATACCTCTTAACTTCATGAAACCAAGGTTTGTCTGCTACTTCTTCAGTGTCAATCTCATAGCAATATGCTGGTTCATCTAACCTCTCAACAGTGATCCGAGGAGCCTCGTTGTCCCACTTGACTTTGGACATAGACGACATAGTAGCTAGCGCGTCCGCTAACTGATTCTCTTCTCGTGGGAAATGTTCAAAGGTGACTTATTCAAAGTGTGGAAGCAATGTCAGCACATGTTCTTTATAAGGGATGAGATTCGGGTGCTTCATGTCCCACTCTCCTTTGATCTAACTTATTACCAAGGCTGAATCCCCGAAAACGCTCAAGAACTTGATCCTTAGGTCAATAGCAGCTTTTAGACCCATGATGCATGCTTCATACTCCACCATGTTGTTGGTACAGTTGAAACATAATCGGGCGGTGAAAGGAGTATGACAGCCTTTGGGAGATATGATTATAGCATCAATGCCATTGCCGAGTGCGTTGGAGGCTCCATCAAAAACCATAGTCCATCGGGATCCTTTCTCAAGTTCTTCATCCGGTCTAGGTTCTTCATAGTTAGTTACTAGCAAAATATTCTCATTCGAGAATTCAAAGTTCATGGACTGGTAGCCATCCACGGCCTGATGAGCCAAACGATCAGCTAGTACACTTCCCTTGATTGCTTTCTGGGTCGTGTATTAGATATCATATTCGGTCAAGATCATTTTCCATCTTGCTATTCTTCCGGAGAGAGTGGGCTTCTCGAAGATGTACTTGATCGGATCCATCTTAGATATTAACAAAGTGGTGTGGGTCAACATATACTGTCTCAGTCGGCGAGCAGCCCATGCCAAAGCGCAACAAGTTTTCTCGAGTAGTGAGTATCTTGTCTCACAGTCGGTAAACATTTTTCTAAGGTAGTATATTGCATGCTCTTTTCGACCGAACTCGTCATGCTGCCCCAACACACACCCCATTGAATTATCTAACACTGTTAAGTACATTATCAAAGGTCTTCCTTCAATCGGAGGCATCGAAATTGGAGGCTCTTGAAGGTATTCCATGATTCTCTCGAAGGCGTTCTGGAATTCGTCATTCCATTTTACCACTTGATATTTCTTCAAGAGTTTGAAGATTGGCTCACAAGTAGCAGTTAAATGGGAAATGAACCTGGCAATGTAATTTAGGCGTCCTAAGAAGCCTCTGACCTCCTTCTCAGTGCGAGGAGGATGCATCTCTTGTATAGCCTTCACCTTTGCAAGGTCTACCTGAATACCTTTATCACTGACAATGAAACCTAGGAGTTTACCAGAACTTACCCCGAAGGTGCACTTGTTCGGGTTTAACCCCAGCTTGTACGTTTTCAACCTATCAAACAGCTTTTGTAGATGATCAAGGTGCTCCTCTGTTGCACACCAAAATTTTCCCTCCTAATTTCTTCTATCTGGCTTAGACTATCGCATTAATTTGTATATATTCCATTATGTCATTAACATACATTTGCATTCAATAAAGCGCCTGAGGTTCGAAGTTCAGTGGTTGCACGATATTAGGGCTTCGCAGTAGTTAAGGTGTTCATATCCGATAAAGTCTGATTCTTCTGATTATTCTTCAAGCAGTGAAATTTGGAATTAGGGTTGCAACCTATGCTTATTAAGGGTTCTATTTTCTTCAAGTTAAGGGGGTTATTACTCATTCAGATACGTTCAAGACAAGAGTCAGAATGTTTCTCCACCAAGTTTGTGCTTGTCAGTATTTCATCAATCGAGGTTCATTAGATTTTCTAAGTCATGGCCATCTTGGTCATATTTATTTTTGTATCCCCATGTTCATTTTCAAGTTGTTCTACGAGGTCATCTAAGAGCTACTAAATTAGGAATTCATTATCTCCTTGTGCTCAATGTCCTCCTTTGATTAGGGTTTATTTCCCTACACTTGGGTTTGTCGGATGAATTTGACAGGGCTAATAGTCAAAGGTTCTTCGTCAATGACTTGCTAGGGTTTTCTTTCGACATTTCTTTGTAAATTGAAAGGGGGACTTATTACTTAAGTCACAAGCTATGTGATCGGAAGCTTCATACAGAAGACAAATGTAGATATACTGGTGCCCATTTTACCGCTTGATCTTTGTTTATCATTGATTCAAATAAATTATTTCATTTAGCTAGGATGCTTGAGGATCAAGATGTTACATTGCTTAGGCCATACAAGTTATCTCTTTGGTTCTCACACAAGGCTTTGAGGTGAACGTGGGGTATTGGGTCATAGTTGCATCCAAGGTTTTGATAATATCTTACTTAAGTTCCTTAGATTGACTAAGAGTATCCAATCTCATGATGTGTTATATTAAAGGATGCAATTTGAAGCAAAATTTGAAAGGTTAAAAGAAGCTTTTGGAGGGAAAGAAATATTCAAGTCATATTTCATCTCCAAGATATCAAGTATCACAAAACTCATCCAAGAAATATTGAAGAATCCAAATGAAATACAACAATATAAAAGCAAGGTTCAAAATTGGAAATTGGATAAAATACTAGATGCTTGAAGATTCATTCAAATTAAAACATAATGGAGGGAAATTCAAACTTTATCATTTTTAAAAGAAGTCATATTCCCTTATATGACTCAAAGTTATACTCCAAATCCAAAATTTCATTCACCATTCAAGTGACCATAATGCAATATCATTCAAGGTTTTCAAGCATCTTTAAGACAGAATTTTAAATAGAAGTTCAAGAGCAAAAGGCAAAAATCAATGAGGTTTGAAGATGTGAATTCTAAATTGAAAGAAGAGAAATGATTGAAGAGGATATCATTACATCAAAGGTCACCGTTTACATTATCATTTCGAATACATCACAAATATCAATAAGATTACATCAAGCCATTTACACCATAAACCTATCATGGGTCTAATCTCTAATGTGACCCCATGCCCATAAAACTTTCATAATATCCAAGCTTCCATTATCATGGCTAACCTTTCAACTTCATGCTCTTCACATTGCAATTCTCTTCATTCCAAGTTCATGGCCTGCACATTCATACAAAAAAAATCCAAGTCAATACAAGCAATCGTGCCAAAAGAATAGGTCCACATCATCCAACTTCATCTTTCTTATTCTAATTATCACACTCCATGCCCCATAACAACTACTTTCCCAATTCTATTTCTTCAATAACACACAACACACTCTCTATAATGAATATAAGGATAGTACTAATGGTGTTAGTTTTGAGTTTTGGAATTGGAAGTGAACAACAAGTACCTTGCTATTTTATATTTGGAGACTCTTTGGTCGATAATGGTAACAACAACCAGCTCACTTCAATTGCAAAAGCTAATTATGCACCTTACGGAATTGACTTTCCTGGCGGACCAACTGGAAGATGTTCTAATGGAAAAACTTCTGTTGATGTAATTGCTGAGCGATTGGGATTCAACGGTCACATACCTTCGTATGCATCGGCTAGAGGTCGAGACATACTAAGAGGAGTCAATTATGCTTCGGTAGTTGCTGGAATTAGAGAGGAAACTGGACAAAAATTGGGATAAAGAATTAGTTTTAGAGGTCAAGTGGTAAATTACCAAAGGGCAGTGTCTCAGTTAGTAAATAATTTTGGAGATGAGAATACCACTGCAAATTATCTAAGCAAATGCATTTATACAAATAGATTGGGAAGTAATGATTACCTTAACAATAATTTCATGCCTCAAATCTATTCTAGCAGTAGACAATTCACACCACAACAGTATGCTAATGTTCTTCTTCAAGCATATGCTTAAAAACTCAGGATTCTATATAACTATGGAGCAAGGAAAATGGCATTATTTGGAGTTGGTCAAATAGGTTGCAGTCCAAGTGAACTGGCTTAAAACAGCCCAGATGGTAGAACATATGTAGCTAGAGTCAATTATGCAAATCAGTCATTCAACAATGGAATGAAATCTCGTTGATCAATTCAATAACCAATTTCCTGATGCAAGATTCATCTATAACCCATCAGCCTATGGTTTCAGAGTCAAATGATGAACGGAATAAATCTTCCATACCTTTGCTTAAAGCTTCCAGCATTGCTACTCCAAAGAAGGCTGATAACGGGTCTTCCAAATCTTCACATAACCTCAGCTCTTCTCAAAACCAAGTTTCTGCTCATAAGAAGAAGCTGGCATCTTCAGCTGAAAATTCCAAGACTACTCCAAAAAAATCTTATTGCAGCTGCCTAGGCAAAGTGGAAAAAAGCTCATTCTCAGTAAATTTCTTATGATATTCATAATGTCCAGGGGGGACTCCTAGCCCATCCACAGTTCAGCCCTACATTACCAAGAAAACAACGACCCTGCATTACCAAATCAGTTCATACATTAACACATCAACCTGCTTGCAAAAATACCTGCATCCATCAGTGACCGAAATAACAGATAAAAGAAGTCAGAAAAATGACAGGTCAGAATAACATATTTCAAGCTCCTCAAGCTGTTTCTCAACTGAATCAATCTCACCATTCAAGTTTGTAACTAACTGATAGATCAAGGGATGAGGTCACTTCAATCTCTAACAAACTTTTTCAGGCTACATAACAGAAGTGGGAGAGAGGATTTTCAGGATTCATTTCACTAATCATTCACCAAGATTCACTTCACATATAACAGAAATTCAGAGAGAAAGTTCGATAGAGACAATTTATTCTACACGATTCATACTAAAAATAAGCTTAAACAAAAAAAACTCACCTCTAAGTTATTCTCTAAATTTTTTTTCTCTTTTGAACCTTCATCTTCCTTCAACTCTCCATCACGATAACTGAGTTCAATTTCTCTGCAATCCATAATCAATTTTCTGCATTCTTCATCGCAGCCTTCTCCAACATCCAACCTTCAAGCTTCGACGATCAACAAATATTCCTCATCACCTCTCTGCGAACAAAATTTCTAAATTCGCAGCATTTAACCAATCAAATCATAACCAAATTTCCTGACTATTAACAACCTTCAACCAACCGCCTAACTAATTCCTAACTAACTTGCAAACTGAATCCTAACATAAATCTCAAACTAACTAACAGCTACAACTAACATAACCATCTTGTAACAAACTTTCAATCTCACCCTTCAATCCCTAACAAACTCTACTCAAATCAGTGGTTCAGATTGATTCTCCCATAACTGCATTCATCATCTTCAAACTCCTATATAACCACATCTCCATCTTCATTCAAATGGGACGATTTCATTCTCTACCCTTTCATCCCCTCCCTATCTCTGAGATTCTCCACAACCTTCACCATAACCACATTCCTCTTCAAGGTCACTTTGATCCATCATCACCCTTATCATTCTCCATCATCTCTGTTACACGTCAAGAACATACAAACAACTTCAACAAGAATATCTCATACAGAGCAACAACAGAAACACAAAAGAAACAAAAACATTGAATCAGAAAAGAAGAAGAGAAGAATTCGAAAAAGAAGAAAAGTAGCGGAAGCTTGTTATTACCTTCATCGTAATCGCAGTTCTTCGGGTTTCCATACGATTCTCCGACCATCTTGAAGAGCCACCGAAGCATCTCTTGCAAGTAAGCCAACAACTCTCTGATTCCCCTTTTTTTTTGCTTCTTTATTCATACAGGGTTCCGAGTTCACTGTTAGATTTAGGAGGAGACAAAAAGCAGTGAGGATGGTTGGTTAGGATGATTTTAGACGGAGAAAATACGGATGATGAGATGACGAAGGAGGTAGCGGTTTCATGGTGTCGAAGAGGAATCAGAGGTGAAGGAGAAAGAAAGATCACGCCGCGTTTGAGTCTGAAAAGAGGAAGACAAGTCCTCGTGAAGCTCTAGGGTCACAAAGCTTTCAACCCTAGATCCCTTTCCCAAAATGATACGTTTTTGGTTTTGTCCCTTTATTTGCTCATTTCAGTTTATTATTTATTTTAATTGAAGAGTATGATTAAATGTTAGGATAGTTGTTATTGGACTCCGTGGATTGAGCAGATTTTAGGGAGGCCCATGGCCATTTTGTTTTTTTTAAGAAACATGGAAATTAATACAAAAAACAACATTGGACTCATCCTGACCATGGGCCTGGCACTTTACTTTAACATACATCATTGAATTCAGCCTGCACCTCTGGGATTTGTTTTTACTATTTTGCAATTTCTTTTTAATTTTGATTATAGTTTAGGCTTGTTTTAATTTTATTCACAAAATAAAAATAATAAAAACCAGTAAAATTTGTTAGATTTTTCTTATTTTTTATTTCTCAAAAGTTAATTCATGGTTATCCGATTATTTGAAATTCAGGATTCACCTTTGCTTTGTTGAGATTTAAATCTTATGCAAGATTCATTATACGATATGCGGAGACGCTTGAAATTTTAATTGTGATTTATTTTCACATCAATGATGCTTCAACAATTATTCCGAGTATTGGATTTCTGACTCTTTTCTTTGTTGATGCTAGCAGCTCGCGAGATCGTCGAGTATCTTTGCTTTTTCTGCTTTGCTCTACGGACTAGTACTCGTTTAGTATATTTTCTTTCTATTTTCACCCTGCACTTATCTATTACCGTAGACTGTGTGATGTATAATAAAATTAGGTTTAGAAATAGGCTAGTCTCACCTGGACTTTTCTTTTTCTTTTTGCATATGCATCTAAAACAAAAAACTTTTTTTCTTACAAACTTCAAAAATACTAAAAAAATTACTGACAAGAATCACGTCTTTGCTAAGTTTGGGAGATGATAAGCGGGTTTCTTCCCGATCTTATTATTCTCTTATTCTAAAGCCTTGGCATGGTTCAAGTCTCAAAGAATCATTTCATGAATAAGTAGAGAAATGACTAAAATCTCTCTCTTGAGATTAACTAGCTATTATCTACAGGCAAAAATACCAACCAAACACAAAACTGTTTTTGACTTTGGGCTTTTCTTTCAAACTCTTTTCAAAAGAACAAGTTAATTCACTTCTGTGCTGATGCGTAAGTCTCAAAAGGTCGAGTTGCGGCAGAAGGCGAGATTAATATCGTTCATTACAAATAAAAAAATTCAAACCTTTTTGTGCGCCCAGGCACATTTTCTCCAAAGTTTTTTAGAAAGAGCATGTTAATTCACTTCTGTGCTGACGCGTAAATCTCCAAAGGCCGAGTTGCGGCAAAGGGCGAAATTAATACTGTTTATTAAAAAAAATACAAACAAACAAAAACATAGGCCGAACTACGGTAGCTCTGATTCCTTAAAACGGATACGTAGGCATTGGGGTAGGGCCCAAGCGAGCACAATTTTATTTTCCCTACATTATTTTCTCCTTCCTTTTGTATGCATTCTCCCTTTAGCAGTAATAAACAGTAAGCATAGATTAAACACACCCATAAGATAGACAACAAGAGTGGATACCATAGAGTACTACGGGCGCGTGGGGTGCTAATACCTTCCCCTTGCATAACAGACTCCCTTACCTTATCTCTTGGTTGCAAGACCATGACTTCTCCCTTCTCAGGTTTTCTCGATGTTTACCTCTCCCTACACGTGGGATAAAAGACGTTCGATGGAGACTTCATTGTTTGATGATTTTTAGCTAGTTGTTTCAGCTGGCGACTTTACTGGGGACAGGTTGACCAAATTATGGTCCATCCCGGAGTCACTCCTAGCTCTTGCTTCCTTTACTACGGGTGTTTATGTTTTTTACAATTTCAGTTTATTCATTCATTTTACCTGTACATATGCATGTATTACACTTTACTGTCTTCCATATACTGCTGTTGTACTGGATCTGCTTCTTGTTTGGGTGGGAATGTTACTATTGAGGTAGAAGGCCCAGTACCTAGGCCAGAGTGCACTAGGATACCTAGGAATAGAGTGGGGGCATGACGGCTATAAGACGTGGTCCGATTAGTGCAGTCATGTCATATACCACGCTCGGATAAGGTTTAATTGGAGGTACTTTCATCATGCACGTTTGTGTTGCGATGATTTTACTTTTGGGCGAACCCGTGATTTTTGAGTTACCATTATCTCACCCTGACCTAGTCTTCAGATGTGAGTGGGGAAGGTATTGTTATCACAGGTACAGTTGATAACTATATTCAAACGGTTACTTTTGGTTATGTCCTGGATTTCTACCAACAATTATGAGGTTCTCAGATTTACTTTCTGAGGACCCATCTATGATCTTTATGGATTTCTTTTGGTTATGTTTCAGACCTGTAATCTCGGCATTAACAAGGAAATGAAGAAGCAGTACAACAGAATTCAGTATCATGGAAGTACTAACCCCATGACTACTTGCACACACATCATAGCATATTTACTTTTCAAAAAACATATATATCAATAATTAATTCGCATTCACATTGTCATTTCCAGGATCTCTCCAGGGTTTCCTTTTCCTCCAAAGAATGGTAAACAACATTGATATCACCCTAAGGACAAAAAGGGATAACTTCAGCTATCAATTCCGTCCTAGTATTTGGCCCTCTCTTTAAGAGCTCAGAGACCTCATGAATTGTCAGCAAATGGGTGTTTTTGGTGAAAGATATGGGAATCTCCTATCTTTA